GGCGCTTGCAGGAGCTGGAGCAGCCATGTGGGGAGGGCCTGCAGCTATGGAAAGGCCCACTGCTCTGCGCTTGCACAGGAGCACTCTTCACTTCTCCCCTTGCTCCAGAGCCTGGGGCTGGGTGCTCAGCCCTGGCACAAATAGATGGCTAGTTCTCCCTCATCCCCCCATCGCTACAGTCAGGTGCTGTAAGGAGGGACTTGGGTGGAGAGGTCTCCATTGCTGCTCAGAAGATGAAGGAGCTTGAGGAGGGGAAGGTGGATCGCAGCTGCCAGCAGGAGAAAAGAGGGGAGCAGCACCCACGGTGGACCAAATAATAGAGGGGGAAATCACAGCAGCTGCTGGAAGGAACACCGAAACATTGCAACAACTTGAGTTGATCGAACGAGCAGACCCACACAACACCGCCTTCCGCTGAAATGCTCTGATCTTGGTCCTCATCCTCATGTATGCATAGAGATCAGCATATTCCAATTTTACACAGACAAGTCCTAGCCTGCGACCGTTTTGGCAATGCAGAAGAGGCCCCCACACTCCCGGCCTCCTGCATGAGACAGTAAAATGTCTTTGACTTGTGGGATAGAAGCCAAGAGAGAGAAGGGCCAGGTGAGCCAGTCCGCTCAGCCCCACGGAGAGAATGTGGGGCTGCGGGAGCTGGTCACATTCACTCCCACCAAGGTGCCCAGTAGCCCCACCCCTGCTGCCCACGTGCTCGGAGGAGGTGGAGGGCCCTGCTGGAGCCGGTGCTGAATGGTCCTCACAGAGGGACACGAAAGGGTCCCTCTTTGCACGCACGTTGCACACGGTCCAGATGCACATCCATGGATGATTATTACAACTGGAAGAGAAACACGATGTGGACGCTGGGACCTGGTGGGCGCCCCTCTCTCACTCTGCTGCCCGGGGGCCAATGATGGACAGCTCCAAGGCCCAACAGCACTTCCTTCTGCTGCCTCTTCCTCTCACACCAGTCTGGGACTAGCCACCCCTTCAAAGAGAACAGCCATCTTCCAAAGAGAGGACTCTCCTCTGGCAGCCCCTCAGGAGAGGACCGCCCTCCATAAAAGAAGGCATGAGGCCACCTCGGACTGACACATGTGGTCTCCCCTCACACATTGGCATTTTTCATGCATGGCAGACGCAGCCCCTCCATTAGGAACTCCTCACCCAGGAGAAAAGGAATTATCCTGAACGGTGGCTTCACTGAAAACACATTAACTGGGTATGAGGAAGTTACATTTTCCTATGGGGTTCACCTTTTGTTTTTTCTCAGCTGTGCCTGCAAACTGAGCCCATGAACACAGCTGAGCTTCTGGACAGGGTCTCTGTGCACACGCAGAGTGGCAGACACAGTGTAGCTGCTCCTCATCGCGGAGTCGCTCCAGCGCCCTGGTCATTTTCACTGCCCTTCTCCGAACTTTTTCCAGCTCAATCCTGTATTCTTCTGGTGCAGCGACCACAACTGTGCAGGCTTATCCTAAGTGTGGGCACACCGAGGACCTGCAGAAGGGAAATGCCACCTTGGCAGTTTGATTTTCCATTCCTTTCCTAATTACGCCAAACATGGAGTTTGCCTACATTGAAGTCCCTTTTGTGTAGGAGGGGACACGGTCCCAGTACATATGAAAAGGGCATTCACTACCGATGGGGCACGTGCAAATGACCACAGCCTCGCTGGAAACAAGCGCTTGTGCCACTCGCGGGTGCAACTGCAGAAGGAGGAGGAAGAGATGGAAAGCGCGTGGGTGAAGGGACACGTTCCGTAAAAAATCCCATTGCAGAATCCATTGCAAGGGCAAAGGAGGGGAGACTTAAAGAAATGGGGGAAGACAGCTTCTTCTACCCCCTCTGAAAAACAGTGGAAAAGAGAGGGGAGAGGGTGGGGCTGCAAGGTTTGCTGCCGTCCTCCAACTGGGTGAAGCCAACTGGGTCAGCGACCCCATTCCCATCTACGTAAAAGCGAGTAAGGGCAGCTCTCCTTCCCTGCTGACTTCCCCACAAGCAAGCACCCGAAGCCAGTGAGATGAACGTGTGAGTAAGGCCACCAAAGATAACGTGCTTGACTTCTGAGCAGACACGGGTTTTGGCTTGTTTCTTGAGCAAGAGGACAAAGAAACCAATGGGGAAAACTTGAAAAGGCATTGCAAAGTTTATTTTTTCAAAGGACGCGGCAGCAAGAGAGAGAAGATGTCGGGGCTGAGGGAGGCAGGAGAACAGCTGATGGATCCAAGACCCTCTCAGGTGTGGTTGTTTTGCTGTCTCACCCACCATCTTACTGAAGTTTCACCGCCTGACCCCAGAACAGTACCACAAGTTTAGCACACACTGATAATATATACTGGGGGGAAAACTTCAGTATATAAAAAGTCATGAAGAAACCCGTGGTATAGTGATAGAAATAGCAGGAGGCCAATGGGCTGGGATGAACATCTTTTGATGTACCAGCGAGACGGAGCTTACGGCACCACCCAGTAAAAATACCTACTGTGGATTGCCCCGAAGTCGCACCAGTCCCAGAACTTGTTAATTCTTGACCCATGGCAAGAAAACGAAGACTCAGAATTCTGCCGCAACCAACGTAAAGAAAGCTTGACTCTCCCAATAAAGCAATTACAGAGGTTTACTCCTCCTGCCCTGAGGAAGCATTTATGAAACGAACTCAAAAAGACAGAAATCCACCCCCACCCCACCTTTCTCTCCACCTGAATTATCACCTGCCTGGAATGAAAAGGGCAGCTATTACCACCAGCTGCCAAGTTAACTAACTGGATTCTTTCTACCTCACTGCACTTCCTTGCATTTTGTCTCAATAAATTAACTAGCTGCTGACACAGACAGATCAGCCAAGCTATTTTGTCAGAAATTAAAAGTAAGAGCTGTATGGGGAGCGGGAGGTGCAGGAAGGGAGGTGTCCTATATATGCTTCCCTTAAACATCTGGCTCCCCAGAGATCAGGCATGGCCATTTCTCCCATGTAAACTCATAGGAGGCGATGGAGCTGGGTTGGAGATGCGGAGAACCTTCTCTCCGGCCTTATGCCAAAGAGCTTGCCAGCCATTTGTTTAGGTCAAACCCAGGGAGGGTCCAGCAAAAGGGAGAGATTCCTAAATGCTTTTGGATTCAAGGAAGTTCTTCCCCAGAATTCTGGCTCCAAATTCCCAGTGGAAATCTGGCTATTACTGAATCTTGGCAGTTTCATATTTGGAAGCAACATTTGGGGTAACTGCAGTTCTGCCTCACCCCACAGCAACTGCTACGTATATGGACTGTATCTGCCCACGGATATCGACTGCCCCGCATCTGTGACCATTTATTTCAGCACAGGTGGACAACTTGCTCCCTCCAAAAGTTCTGGCCTGCAGTAGCCAGAGGCCCCGGCTAGCAAGGGCATTGATCAGAGACTGTGCAAACCATAACCCCAAACAACTGAATGTTGTCAAGTTGCTTACCTGTGCTTTGGATTTCACAGTCGTTTGTTTATTATTGCATTTCCATCCTACCTTTCTTCCTCTTGCAAGGAAGCCAAATTACAGACGAGCAAAGTCTTAATTAAAAGATAGCATCAAAACAATTATTGAAGTAAAAGCATGACAACAGAAAAAACAAAGCAAGTGGTTCCAACCAATTAAACCTCCTTTAAGCAATAGACCAGCTTGTTTGTTCATTATTATAGCCCATCATTCTTCCTCTTGCAAGGAATCCAAGGCGGCTCACATTGTCCTCCTTTGTCTTCATAATCACTCTGTGCAGTAGCTTAGGCTAAACGTCAGTGGCTGCCCTATGGCCCCTGTGGCCAGGTGAGGGCTAGAACCCACATCACCTGGGTTCTAGCCCAGCATTCCGGCTATTCTACCACATTGGCTCATTCCAACCTCTCACCCGAACCTACCATTTCTTAGATGGCTTTATTTTCTGTGTCATCATTATTTTTAATGAAACTCTGAGCCATCCACACTTCTCACACATGGAATACTCAGGAATTCCTTAACAACACCAAAAGAATGAGAAACTATCATATTTGCACTGTAGATTATGAGGAATTTTCTCCTCCCAGTTAACCTGAGTAACTGAAGTTTGCACTGGGGAGCATGACTTCTTTACAGGAAAATTCACAAAACCCTCAATAAGTTACTATTCCAAGGATTCTTTGGGGAAACCATGGCAATGACATAGAATTAAAACATTAGTTTATTTATGTCGATCTGCCTGTTTGGATATTGTACAGTCTGATTTGCAGCTCTCAGTTCGCCCTATAAAAGATCTTCACAAAACTCAATTTATACTTTGAAGGTCATTGCAAATAATGCTCCTTCTTTCTAAGGTCTTGTATTAAGTATTCTCTAATCCAGAGAATGCTCAAATGTTCTGGAACATGTCTTCATGGATTCAGATCATTTTTATTCCCAACAAATAAATTTCAGCACTCATCACATTGGATATACCAAAAGCAATAAAATAGAAGCACTGGAACCATAGCTGAAAACTTGCAAAATAATTGTGGGCCACGTTTGCCTTAAATGGAGACCATCTTGGTGTGGGGGAATGTATTACAATGCATTTTGAGTCAAAATAGGGTTTCCCTTTCCAAGTCTGACATTTTTATCTCTGGTATTGGTGAGCTTATAGGGGAGGAAGCAGCAGAGACCATATTGGGGGTTACAAAAACCCAAATAATGCTGACATCTTTACAATGAAGGGTCTAAAAAATTAATTTTCCGCCCAAATCATGCTAGGAGCCTGCAGTGATCGATAGCCTTTTTTGGAGAGACATTAAAGCAGTGAATTGGATTCACTTTATGGAAGAGTAATTTAATCCCCTTTGCTTCCTCCTCCTTTCTTTCTCTCCTTAATCTCAAAGTGTGCAGGCAGCATTTTGTCTGAGAGTGTCCTTCCAGGCCCCACTTTGATGTACTGTTCGCTGTGCATCCTTCCCCTCTGCCAGCCCCACTGGGCCCTTCCTCCAATTCATGCTTAGCTGTTCAGACTTCAGCCCCACTCACCTTCGAAAGGCCACCGACCTCCAGGTAAAAGCAGATGACGAAGATGTTCCAGGTGACCCAGATGGCTGTCCAGATGGCATACTGGGAAAGGAGGCGGACCGAAGGAAAGAAAGACATGGGGATGACAGTCAGAATCAAAGAGGGAACAGATGTAAGATGGTCAGCCATGGCATTAGGTCAGGGGTGCTGAACCTCAGGCCCGTGGGCCAAATCCTGTCAGCTCGGGGTCTGAATCTGGACCCAGGGGACAATCCAGTTTTCCTAACCACAGATCATTTGGTGGTCCCCTAGTCTTTGGACACTTCCCTGATCCTTTCACATTCCCATAGGAAATGCCTCTGCTAGATCAAGCAAGAATTTTAAGCTAAAATATGGTGGGATTTCAGGAATGTGGGGCCCCTTTTGCTTTAGGTTCTGCCCACGGGAATCTGGCCCTTGAAATGAATCCTAAGGCGCTTAGGATGAAAGATGTTCAACACCCCAGTTGAGCCCAACTGCTGGCGATTCCCCGGGATTTTGTGCTTTCCCAGCCCTACCTGGAGAAATTCTGGGAACCAGACAATTTTAGAATCCGTTTTCCACCCTGCTTCAACTGAGACATGGCAAGATTAGACAGGACACTTGCCCTATGGAGCATCAGGGTAGTGTGAAAAAGAAGGCCTTATTTTTCCTCCAAGTCTCTCCTTTATGTTTGCACACACATCTCACCTTAAATTCATCTTCAGCGGGTATCTCCCCCCCCCCAGGCCCCACTTTTACTCTAGAGTAAGTGCAGGGGCCCTAATCCAGATTTTGAAAACCCCAGGATGCTCCAGGCTAGGGTCCTGATCTGCATCAAGGCCTCTGTCCCTACTCTGGAGTAAAAGTGAAAGCGAAGGTGACATCGCTATGAGAGAGAGATTTAAAGCAATGTTTGTTTGGATCCACCTGTGAGATCAGAGATTCGTTCAGCAGCAAGTGCCAAAATTCCCGGGGACTTCAAAACAAGCCAAATGACTCCTGACAGTTTATAATTAACTCCTGGGAGTGCAGCTGTATATCTTTTATTGTCTCCCCGCAACTCGCTCGCGCGCCAGTTGATGGATGGGCATTGCAGCCCGTTCGTCCGCTTATAGGCCTGGAGGGTGCTGTAGCCAGCCTGTCTGACTGGCTCTGGATGGATGCTAGATGCATGTCAGTGGCCCCTCAGAAAAGCACTGACTGGAGACCCTCATTTGCTGAGCTCACTGACAGCTGGCTGGAGTTTATTACTTCAGCTGTGATGCCAACCTATGAGGATTCTCCCACTTCAATAACTGGCAGCAATAAAGCCAGGCTTGGATGGGAGAGGGGAAGCTTTTATTAATAATATGGCAGGGAGAAGGCCCCGTGATACCCTGTATTCACTGAATCAAGGCATGCCAACAGCCTCAAAGAGACCTAATGCCAGCCACGAAATTCAGACTGACGTCTCCAGCACTGCCAAAAGGAATGTCAGCTGCAGAGGTGGTGGGAAGAGACAGCTCTGAATCTTCCCTTTGGAGACCATCTGCCCCAGCACCTTGATGCCCAGATGCACCTGTTGAAATAAAAGTTTGGGACTGAGGGATCCCTGTTGCGTCTGATCCCCTTGGATTAGCTGGCCTTTGCCACATCTGCTCCCCTCCCGCTGCCACCCCTGGAATCTTTCTGCCCGAGGCTTTTCCTGACACCAAACCCCCGTCTCTCCGCTGTCCGTCCATTCCCTTTTCCAAATAAGAAAGTCCTTAGGAGACAAGGCCTGGCACAGACCCAGAGATGTCAGGGCATTTGCACATGTGTGTCAGGAAATGCACACTCACACAATGTTTTTGTCCCGTGGTCCTGAGCCCTGGTGTTTTTCTCTCTTAGCACTGCTCCAGTGAGCTGTCCAGACCTGCTGCAGCTTGGGGGGAGCTTTCGTTCCCTGGGGTGCAGCGCTCCGGGAGAACTTCCCTGGGGAATCGTGGCCTAGCCTACCGGCTAAGCCTGGAAGGCTTTGCCTTGTGCCTATTTGGAATACGGTGACACCACCCAAGCCCCCGCCGTTCCATTATCCTGCTGGATACAAAGGCCAAGAGTGGCAAAGCATGACTGGTTAACTTAATGTAAGACATTTGCATACCGCATGGTGCTTTGGGCTGGTAATTAGAACAGTGGCCTCCTGTACGATTAGCAACATGGTAATTTAATTTAGCTCCAAAAGGCTGTGTAATAAAGTGAAACAGTTTCATTAAAATAAATCACATACACTCTGTCGGAAGTGGCAGATGAAAGGGAATATTTGATCATAATTTGAAGTTGTTTCTCTCAGACACAGGTTTATTAGACACAGAGAGACACGGTTGTGCAGGCAGAGACAGGCTGGGTCCCAAAGCTGGAATTATTTTACCTGTATGCCTCACCTTGCTTCCTCCTGCAAGGAACCCAAGATGGCTTGCTAGGTCCTCCTCTCCATTTTATCCACACAGCAACACTCTAGTCCCCACTCATCCTGTGGACTTCACAACTGAGTGGGGACTAGAACCCGCATCTCCCCAGCCCCAGCCTGGCACCCTCACCACTTGGTCAGATTGATATGCCCCAATGTCTTTTGGAAGGCAGAACACACCCTGGTTTCCTGCCATGCTGCTGAAGAAACAAGCCACCGCGGCGATTAGAAGTGGGTTGGCTCTTTGGCAATGGGAAACATTGCTGAGAAATGCCATATGTTGAATTTCTATCACATGCATTATAGCCATCTAATCTTACTCACAGCGAGCCATCAAGCTTAAGTGCCAGATTTGTGAAAGTCATTAAAAGTCTGAAAATGGTCATCTTTTTTAGATTTTTACATTTATATTTTTACCGTTGGGAGTGAAAGAGGCCTCACCATCCAGATTTCCCAGAGAGGAGACAAGAAACATATTGGGCTATCTCAATAATTCTGGCATATATATGCAGGAGACGACCTCAGAACAACACAACTGCGAATACCAATGGCATTTTCTTATTTAATTCATTCTTCTCAACAACCAGCACTTGGCAACTAGGTCCCAATTACTCTGCATTTACATTTAACATTAACTGACTGTGGACATACTTGAGAGAAGCTATTTCTAAGACTTCTCAGCTAAGCCCAATGAATTTAGTGGGACTTAAGCTCCATGCAAGCAAGTTCAGCACTGCAGCTTTGGAAGCATTTAAAAAAAGCTTTTTGCTACTCACCACCACAATGTACCGAGGTCTGTATTGGATTGTACCAAACAAGCCAAGAATAACAATGATGATATGGAGGAAATTTGCAAGAATTGGAGCCCACTGGTATCCCAGGAAATCGAAGACTTGTCTCTCGAAGGCAGCAAGCTGGAAAAGAAGAAAGAGAAGGAGAAAAGGTGCATGAGCAACCAACTCATGAAAATAATCATTTGCAAAGTCAGGGACCGTATCCGCATTGTGAACGATCTTTGTCTAACCTTTTGCATAGGCTCTTGGGGAGCTTTGGAATAGCGAGTGACACTGGAAAATTTCATGGTGATTCATTTTTTGACTTGAATGTGTCCCATTTGCAAGCTGGCAAACGGAAGCAGGTTGCCGAGAAAACTCACATTCCAAAGCATACATTCACATTTACTAGATACCCACTTTAGGGACACTGGAACTTTAAAAATGGTGCATTTTTGAAATATGTACATTTCTATACTTTACCTTACAGGGGGAAAGTACACAATTTGGTGCGCCCATAGCACAAATGCATATCAGCACATTCACTTTCCCCCATCAAGATGAGAGAGAGAGCTTGCAGGTGAAAATGGCAGTGAGGCTACCTGACCTTCCAGGTAGACTCCCAAGATGAGGTTCAGCATCACTGGTTCTCCTAACCCTACCTTACTGTTGCTAATGATCCAGGGCACAGTTCACACCAAATGAATGAAAAAAAAAAATCCATGCTCACCAGAAATTAAAAAAAGCAGTAGATACGGTGTCTGTTTCATCAGTTTCTGCATATTGCAACACTCTCATTCATTCTGCATCATGGTGTGTGTGTGTGTGTGTGTGTGTGTGTGTGTGTGTGTGTGTGTTAAATAAAGGGGTGTGACTAAATGGAAGCCGTATGGCCTGGCACAGCCAGTCTGGAGAAAGACTTGCAAGTGGTAGGTCCCCGAGGAAATTCTGCCCCTCCATAAGTGTAATATGCAACATCTGGAGAAGATTATTTTAACGGGCCAGGCAATAAAGGAGAGTATTTACAGCAGCCTTTCCCAACCTGATGCCCTCCAGATGAGTTGGACTGCAACTCCCATGACTGCCATGGGATGTGTAGTCCAGCACATCTGGCGGACATCAGGTTGGGAAAGGCTGACATGGAAGGAAACCATTCAAATGAAAGCAGAAGGGGTGGGTCAAGCCAGTGGCTTTCTTAGGGTGCGGTGCTGGTTCCCTCCAGCCCAGTATGCTGACACGGGCTGGCAGCAGCTGCTCGCCATCTTTTAGGCAGGATTCTTCCCTAGCCCTACCTGGAGATGCTAGGACAGAACCACGGTAGGCTCCATGGCGGGGCAGAGCCATCCTGCAGCAAGTCCATCATCACCCAGGCAAATTCTAGGGGGGGTATGTCACCCACTTTACAAAGGGCAGTCCTCTGTTTCAAAGCCATCCTCGATTGGAAGGGCTGTCCTTTCCCATTCTGATTTAAAGAGAAAGACCCCTAAGATGGGAGACAACCTCCTCGTCAGAGTGAGCACGTGGACAGCGGACTGAGCAGGTGGGAGAGATGCACTGCCTTTGCCGCTAAATGATGGTGATTATTCCTGAATTAACATCCAGACATACTCAGTCCGTGCATTTAAATTTACCTTTTAAGTGCATTTACCTTTTCTCGCCTTTTCAGTGTTGCATCTCCTTTCTTTTGGTGATGCTTAAGACCTACCAAAGTGTTTGCCTTTCTGATTGACATGAGCCAATAGCCGGCCAGTTGGGTGGATCCACTATAGGAAGCAGGAAACTCTTGGGAGTAGATGGTTGGATCCAACCCAGCAGATCCTGACACCCATTTCCGCACAGGGGCAACTCCCCTTGAGTCCCCCCTAGTTCCCTTCTTGGTGGGGGACGAAGGAGGTCTTGCTGCAGGCAACAGGACAGGCCACTGGGTGAGATGTGGTGATAAAAACAGGCCCAGTCTCACATGGGATCAAGCTGTGCCCACACAGTGGTGCTTTTGTGTGGCTTTCAACGTGCTTGTGCAGGAGGCCTTCCCTTTGGATCTTGCCCACTGCCTTTCCTCTTGCCTTCCTTTTGGCTTTGGTTAACTGTCACTCTCCTTCTCTCTTCTTTCTGACACTTTCGGAAGTTGCATTCTTTCACTCTAAGGGATCCGATTTAATTAACCAGCAGACAGGTACTGCCTGCAATCTCCTATGAAATACACAAGTGTCTGAATGAACAAGTCCCATACCTGGGAAGGCAGAACCGGAAGGCTATTATTCATTTCAAAATCAATTTTCTCTGCATCATTAGAGCCGGCGGCAATGTGTTAAGCCCTTAATCTTTCATTAGGAAGATCAAAACACACACTACAGTGACACCTAGGGATTCTGGATTCTGGTTGGCTGGCTAGGGGAACACATGACTGCCATCAGTTTATCCAATCAGGCATTTAATTGGCTTTGTTTGTTATGCTAAACTAGAAATGTAGATAAAACGACAGGATCTCAACATATTAGTTTGCCTATTAAGCAAGGAAATCCTGCAGCAGTTTGTGTTGTAGAGAAGGGACCCCATGACTCCAAGGTATGGTGAGAAGAAGCTCACCAGAAGACGAAAGGGACAGCCATAGCCAGTATTGTGTGGTGTATACAGAGTGGGAGTTAGACCATTAGGGTTAGTTAGTTCCACTGAAGAGCTGGGAGGGATCTTGAAGGTCATCTCGTCTGACCCCTGGCAAAGCAGGAACTCTGCCAGTACAACATGCCAGCTAAGGACCCAGCCAGCCCCTTGCTTAACTCCCTTTTGAAGAAGCAACCATCACAGCCTGAGCCAGTCTGGATCATCTTAAAAAGCAGTTTAAAACAGACAAATTAAACCCTGCAGCCCCACTGGCAAAATATTTGCATCCCCGAAGCAGTGCAAATGCTACTCTATGTTACCAAACTTTTCCATAAGGATCAGTACACCATGGAAGGATCAGTACACCATTGCAACCCACCCATCAGGTCTGCCCACGTGCTTCTTCCTTGGATCGCGTCCCCTGCCTTATTCGCCTTTGCCCTGTCGTGCGCCAGCTGCTGCTCTTTTAATCCTTCACCAGCCCATGGCCTTCCGAACTGCTTCTGATACCAGCATCTGATCTTGCTGAGGCCCAAGAACAGGACACACATGCAGACTGGCATAGTTTCTCCAAGCAAAAGCGTTTGGTACAGAGACGGGTCGTGCAGCTTCATGCATGCTGAAGGCCCCGGGAACTGGACCAAGGGCTGCAAAGAACCAAGCTCGAAACCTGGAGAGTTGCTGCCAGTCAGTGTCAACAAAACTGGGCTGGATGGATTAAAAGTCCAATGTAGTAAAAGGCATCCTCCTACACTCCTCTCCCTGTAGTTACCGGGGACAGGCTTGGGACCACTCTACAGTTAATGCCGTTCACCAAATTATTCCTCTGATTTCTTTTGCAAGTATCTTTTAAAATTATTGTTCATGAGAGAAGCTGGTGTTGCTGTTCCACAGACTCAGGAAGTTAAAGAGGTGGGAGTGTGTTTGGATTCACCAGCACAGAGACAAGATTCTGGAGAGGGGAGGGGAATGAAGCATTGTAATGATGGGCATTAAAACATGCTCTAGCGTGGATGAATCTCTTACCAGATTCTATCACACAGTTGTCTATCAGGAAACATAGAAACAGAGCAAGTCAGAAGGGGTCTCCCAGGCCATCTAGTCTGACTCCTGGCTCCAGCCGGCTCCGCTCACGACATGCCCACCATGAGCATGTCGAGCCTATCTTTGAAGACCCTCACCAACGGGGCCTCAACCACCACCCGTGGAAGCCCATTCCACACCCTCGGGGCCCTGACTGTCAGAAGTGCTTCCTGGAATCCAAATGGAACCTTGGCTCCCTGAGCTTTGCTCCGTTGGAGCACGTTCTGCCTTCCTCTGCAGGGGAGGACAGGTCTCTACCCACCTCTGTGTGACACCCCCTCACATACCTGTGTGTCGCCAACAGATCCCCTCGGAGTCTCCTCTTCTCCAGGCTGAAGAGACCCAGTTCCCTCAGCCTCGTCCCATACCCCATCCCCTGCAAACCGGCCACCAACCTTGTGGCCCTTCGCTGCACTGACTCTAACCTGGCTAAATCCTTCCTGTAATGAGGGGCCCAAGACTGAGCACAATACTCCAGTTGCGGGCGCACCAGAGTCGTAGAGTGGCAGTAACACCTCTCTCAATCTAGAAGCCACACTTCTGGCTATGCAACCAAGGGTGGCGTTCGCCCTCTTGACCACCGCATCCCATCAGGAAGGAAGGAAGGGACAGACAGATGGACGGATGGACAGAATTGTCTGCCAAGGCACTAGCTGTTCTCTGGTCAGACAATACTCAGTGAGTTGTCATTGTGGGGAGACAGTTGGTAGACACCTGATGATGCTTTTCCTCACAGCCCTGACCTCTGCACTAAGAGAGTCTATGCCTTACTTTTTTTCTCAGTTCAGAGCATTTATGGGCAGACAGAATTATGGACACACAGAATTTATGGCCTCCCCTCCTGCCCGTATCTTCCCTGCACGTGCCAGCAAAACAGTTGAGGAGAGAGAGAGACATCTGGAACGTTACTGGAGAAATACCTATAGGCGGCTCTGGCACACAACCACACATCCTCTGCCAGATTTCATATTTGCACGGCAATGTCGCCCACGGGCCCAGCCCCAGCCGTGCTTTTACGATGATCCGGGAGGCCTGCTGGGCGTGGGGGGGGCATCCGTGATCATGCTGGTAAAGTTCTGAGCCCTCAGTGCTGCACCTCCGTTAAGCCACAGAGCGGCCTTCTGGTTGGTGTGTGTGTGTGTGTGTGCGAGAGCGAGCAAGAGAGAGAGAGAGAGAGAGAGAGAGAGAGAGAGAGAGAGAGGAGAGTCCATCCAAGGTCCATATGATAAGAAACAGACTATTTGCTAGGATAGCTGCTGGGTTACAATTCCATGGAAATATCTGAAGATGTTTGGTGTTCAGAGAAACTGGACAGAACCAGCTAAGCAAACTCTTCCCCAAAACTGGTCCAAACGAGTTGGCACGTGGGAAAGTGTTCAGCTGAAGTCTGAAGAAGAGGAGGAGTGTGGGGGGGGGTGCAGCCTCTGAAGCTCCTTTAAGGTTGCCTGGTGAGCCTG